GGCTCCCGTGCCCCGGCTCCCGTGTCCCCGCTCCCGTGTCCCCGCTCCCGTGTCCCGGCTCCCCGGCCCGGCTCCCGTGTCCCCGCTCCCCGGCCCGGCTCCCGTGTCCCGGCTCCCGTGTCCCGGCTCCCGTGTCCCGGCTCCCCGGCCCGGCTCCCGTGTCCCCGCTCCCGTGTCCCCGCTCCCGTGTCCCGGCTCCCGTGTCCCCGCTCCCGTGTCCCGGCTCCCGTGTCCCCGCTCCCCGGCCCCGCTCCCGTGTCCCCGCACCCGTGTCCCCGCACCCGTGTCCCCGCTCCCGTGTCCCTGCTCCCCGGCCCGGCTCCCGTGTCCCCACTCCCGTGTCCCGGCTCCCGTGTCCCGGCTCCCGTGTCCCCGCTCCCCGGCCCCGCTCCCCGGCCCGGCTCCCGTGTCCCCGCTCCCGTGTCCCCGCTCCTGTGTCCCCGCTCCCGTGTCCCCCCCCGCTCCCCGGCCCGTCCGCCCCTCGGCGCTTGCAGCCTCCCGGCCCCAGCGCGGCCGCAGCCCCGAGCGCGCCGCTTGCTCGCCGCGGACCACGCGTGCCCTTCCCGTGCCTGGCCGCGGCCTAACGGCTGCCTTCCCTTGCAGATCATCGCCTTCGACGAGCTCAAGACCGACTACAAGAATCCCATAGACCAGTGCAACACGCTCAATCCCGTAAGTTGGGCGCGGGGCTCGGCCGCAGCCAGGCTGCCCCGGGCAGGCCGCAGGGCTGCCCCGGGCTGGCGACACCAACCTGTTTCACAGAGCTCCCAGGGACACTCCCGTGTCCGACTGTTGCTTCCTGTCAGGCGTGAATATTCTGACTGTTGTTAATCTGCTGGTGATCTTGTCAGCTGTCCTACTAACATTCTTTCCAATCTGCTTTTTGCATTTTCGGCACAAAGACAGTTGAAAAGGTCAAAAAGATTAAAAGAGTCAAAATTGCACTAAAGGTGTGTACTGCTCTTTAGTTTAATGTTCTTAACGCCACTTCATTTTGTTAGGACCGTTTGTACTACTCTTAAGATGTTCTGTTTCTCGTGCTCGTTCATCTGCCTGTTGTCTGTTCAGGTTAACAGCGACCTCATGAACTTCCATGTTTTTTTGCCCGACAACTTTGCTTGCTCACCAGGTGAAGTGGGGAAAACTGTTACCTGCCCGTKTCCTGCATCCTGTCAGTCGCCGGAGACAGAAATAGACGCTGCTTCCCACACAGTATTTATTAAGCCCTGAGGTTGTGGGAGACTTGCTGTTTCTAAACATTGACCACGTTTGTTCTAGCTTGGCTTGAGGGTTTTGGTGGGTGTACCAACGCAGGCCTTATTCCCAGTTTTTGTGCCCCAGGACTGGAGATTTCTCTTGGTGCCCCCTTTGGGATGCAAATCTGACAGCCCTTGATTTGTGAAAAGGGTTTGRGCAAATTATCCCCTTGCGAAAAGGGTCTGAGCAGACTCTGATTTGGTGGTGACTTGGTGATTTGGTGGTGTCTGTGACAGACCACTAAATATTTATTAGTATTATATATGAAACASCCCGTTGAAGTGGCACCTCCTGCTCGTGGTTCTGGTATTGCCAGAGCAGCCAGGCTGCAACTTCCAGCAGCGCTTTGAAGAGTGAATTGTACAAAGTGGCAAATGAATTTGCAGTTGCTGGGGAGGAAGCAAAATTAACCACACACCTCCTGCCTCAACGAGGAGGAGAGGGCTCCTCCGGGGCAGCGGCGAGGTTTGCTGCCCGCACAGAGGCGCATCTAACAGTTTCCCCTGCTCTGCTTTACAGCCATTTCTGCCAGGGGGAGGGCCAGTTCCCATTGCTTTTGTGCATTATGATCTTATCGCAGCCAATGAAGTATTATAATGCGCATGTTTGAGGCAAATATTAACCTTCCGTTAACCCCCATGCATGGAGTGTTTATTTATATGATAGCTTCGTGAAAGGAAAATATTTAATATTCGGTATTTTCAGTTCTTGTAAGAGCTGATTAGATGTTAAGGGTAAAGTTGAGTTCCAAACTCTTAAGAAAATACAGTGGACAAATGGACAAATTCTGGACAAATGCACAGAAGTGATGTTTTCCTGCCCAAAGATTTAGTCACTCTGATGCTGAGAATTGCTGGCAGGATCAGCCCCAAACAGTAACTGCTCAGTACACCACTGATGCCTGCTTTTTTTTATTCTGGTCCTGTAGAGCAGTATCTAGGCTCARTGAGGTCTCTTGCTCCTCACAATGATTACCACGATAGAGTATGAGCTATTTTGGTTCCTAGAAAAGCGGAAGCAGTAAGGAAGGAAGACAAAATCTGGTGATAAGATTTGTAAGGGGCAGGTATTTTGGTGTCTGTGCAGGGTATGAAACCCAAGATATAAAGAAAAATGTGCTTTGAGATGTGTAACTTGTAGATCTAGATTTACATATTTCGGATCCGCTAAACCCGTTTCAGTCAGCTACTAAGCGCACTGTGCTTTGGGTAGCGAGGGTTCTTTCTCCCCCTCTTTATTATAATGGCCAAGTTGTGGATGGTAAGTGCACCAAGAATCTGAAAAAAAACCCTACTAAAAACCAACCAAATAAAAATCAGACCTTGAATCTGATGCCATTTCCTGATGAGAGCTCATCTCTGTTGAYGCTGATGCCATTTTTTGTTTGGTGCTTTGCTGAAGACACAGAATGTAGCAGCAGAGTAGATGGTGAGGATGTCTGTCTGCTGCTGCTCTGAGATTTCYAGGAAGGTATTTTTGGTGTTTAAAAGAAGAATCTGCATTGATGGAATGAAGGAAAACTCACAAAACACTGAATCTTGGATGTACTCATCCTACACAAAGAAAGTTATGTATATATGCACGTCTATATGTGTTTGTGTATATATATATACACACAGACACACACACACGTATTTTAATCCTTGATTTAGAAATGGAGATTTCTTTCTTGAGAGCTTTCAGTTAGTGATCCTGAGCTGAGCAGTCATAATTTTAAATTGCTTCTCTCTGAATTGTCCCGCAAAGCAAGTAAAGGTGCCATTTTGGGGTGAACCTGCTTTAGGAATGTGACTCTTGTGCTGGCTGCGAGCTTCCGCTGGCTCCTGCATGCACTTAACCTACATCTCTCTCCACGGGGCTCCATTCAGCACCTCTGATGCCACCTGGCATCTCACGCGTCCCGTGACTTAGGGCAACTGGCAGTAGCCCTGTGCTCTGCTGGGGCGCAGTGTCACCAGGCTGCATGTCAGGGACCCAAAAGGTGACCGGCGCGTGGGCTCCAGCCCAGCGTGCCCAGGGCTGCTGCTGCTGCCGCCTCCCCTGCGAGGCTGCCGGGAGCCCCGGGCCTGCTCTGCGTGCTAAAAACCCTGCATGATAAAGCCCTGCCTAAGGGATGCGTTTGGTAACAGTGTGAAAGCTCACGGATGGGTTAGTACCAGAACAAAGCTTGAAAACAGTGAAACACAAAAAAACACCTGCTGCAGGGAGCGCCTTTCCTGTCGACATTTCTGCGTTGCATGAGGAGAAATATCTTGATGCTCTCTTCTGTTATGAGGGCCATTTACAAAATGTAGAAGCTGTGAACACTGCACTTAGGTAACAGAAGTGATAGATATTTCTGCATCTTTCACATTGTATAATTTTATTTTTGGTTAATGAGTATTATGTGAAAACAGCAACACATCTATTGCTGGTTGTTGTTTTCACTTTCCACAGTTGTCTTGTTCCTATTAGTGTTTTTAATAATACTTCTAAACGATAACTTCACGAGTTTGAGTAAACAAAAGTTGTGACTCATGTTTTTCTTTTGCAGCTTGTACTTCCCGAGTACCTCATCCATGCATTCTTCTGTGTTATGTTTCTGTGTGCAGCAGAGTGGCTTACACTGGGTCTCAATATGCCTTTGTTGGCTTATCATATTTGGAGGTAATTTTGGCGAGTCCGGTGTCTCCGTGCTCCTTGTATCTCATTTTCCTCTTGCAGCGCTTCCTGTCAAGTGTTCTGCTGCTTGGCAAATAAAGATGCTTTCTGATAAGACATTCAGAAAGCTTGTATCGTGGTTAAATCTGAACCATTGCATTGCCTCCTCGGTAACATCTTTTTTTTGTCCCACTGTACAAGAATCACACGCTGCTGTGTGTGCAGTCCGCGGAGCAGGGACAGGGCTGCAGTGTAGGGGGTATTTGGGCAGTGGGGACTGTTGGTAACGGTGTCAGCCCTGCTGTCCTTGTGTCCCCGAGTCCCAGGCACCCCCGTGTCTGGCCAGCACTCATTTTAGGGGTGATTAGAGGCAATAGGGTTATGTCCCCTGGTCCCAGTGCAGATTAGGGGTTGACCTGCTGGAAAGCAGCTGTGYCGAGAGGGACCTGGGAGTCCTGGTTGACAAGTTGACCATGAGGCAGCAGTGCCCTCGWGGCCAAGRAGGCCAACGGGCTCCTGGCTGCAKCAGGAGGACGTGGCCAGCAGGGCAGGGAGGGGATYCTGATCCTGCCCCTCTGCTCCGCTCTGGGGAGGCCAAACCTGGAGCACTGGGGGCAGCTCTGGGCTCCCCGGGACAAGGGGGACGTGGAGCTGCTGGAGAGGGGCCAGCGCAGAGCGACAGGGATGGGGAAGGGGCTGGAGCAGCTCGTGTGAGGAGAGACYGAGCGAGCGGGGCCTGTTGAGCCTGGAGGAGAGAAGGGGGAGAGGGATCTGATCAACATGGACAAACACCTGAGGGGARGATGGAGGGAGGAAGGKGCCAAACTCTTCTGGGTGATGGCCAGTGATAGGACAAACCCAGGCTGTTCCATCTCCAGGTGAGGAAGAACTATTGTGTGAGGGTGCCCGAGCCCTGGCCCAGGCTGCCCAGGGAGGCTGGAGATCTTCCCTGCTCTGGAGATCTTCCCAACCCACCTGGGTGCGTCTGGGTGTCCCTGCTGGAACAGGGGCTGCGCTGGATGTTCTCTAGGTGTCCTTTCCAACCTCAGCCATTCTGTGATTCTGTATGCTGCCCTCTTATCTGTCATACCCAACCTTTTCTTGAGCAGTACCATTTAACATTGAATCAAAACACTATTTTCTTTTAAAATGAGATGTAAACTTGCAAACTTGTCCAATACTCTGCCAGCGAATGGCACAGTTTGGCCTGTCTCGCGGTGGGACAGCTCCTGCAGCACAGGGTGTAGAAACTCCTGAAAAGTCCTTGAACTTCAGCAGGAGCTGCGTGCTCCCCCAGCAGCTCACGACTCCTTTATGGAATTGCTCTGCTGGATGTGATTCCTTGCCTCAATTTGGTATGAATCGGTGGGTATGCAGATAGGGGGCAGGAAACAACATTTTCCTTTCTTGTTCCTGCAAAAAAACCCCCATCTCTTGCTAATTGTGTATCGCTTCCAGGTATATGAGCAGACCTGTGATGAGCGGCCCTGGTCTGTACGACCCTACAACCATCATGAATGCAGATATTTTAGCCTATTGCCAGAAAGAAGGATGGTGCAAATTAGCATTCTACCTTCTATCATTTTTCTACTATCTATATGGGTAAGTTCTGTTTCTTTTTTCTTCTCCCATTTAAGTCAGAAACTTTCTGATGGGGTTTGGCGTAGAAACATTGTACATGAAAACATAAATAACATCAACATTCTTGAATACATTGTAACTGAGGATTATTTTTCTGTTTTAAACACAAGTTGTAATTTGGTTTTAATTATTGATTTGAACCTCATTATACTTAAGTTTGCTTCAGAAAATCTGCCCGGGGACTTGAAAGCTCCAAGCCTTTCTTCTTCTAAGGCCCATTTAATAAATCCCCAGTATTTTTGTTGAGAAGCTGGAATAGTAATTTTCTAGTGTAAGAGGTTACTTTGATGTCAGTTCCTTTCTGTTAAAGGCAGAAGAGTCACTCCAGAAGTGGAAGGTGTAGGAACCAGAAAAGCCAGGGCAACCTCCGGGTTTCCTTCCTCCCCCTGCTCTCAAGCCAACAGTGGATTGAGCCACCCCTGTGCTGGGTGTTTGTGTGTCACACACCACACAACAGTGGGAACTGGCACGTGGTCCCCTTCTCTTTGCGTGCTGTAGCTCCTAYGACCTAACTACAACAGTCCAAGGCTTTTAACGTGTTAATTGACTTTGCGTAGGACTCCCCATCTTAATGTTGGTTGACCTAGTGACAGCTGAACTTGTACTGTCTAGTCATGTCTTATTTTATAATGCCATTTTTTTAGTTTTTTACAAAGACATTAAATTGCGTGTGCTGGTTTCTCTAAAAACTTCAGTATAGTCACAATCCATGTGCCTCACGGCAATTTATTTCTTAGAAGAATGTATAAAACTACATAGTATTTAACATGTTATATGTAGAGCTATATGTGTTTGACAGTAATCAAAATGTTTTATCTTAATATTTTTCTTTTATTTTTCAGCATGATTTATGTTTTGGTGAGCTCTTAAGAAGACGTTCAGTGAGCTTTGTTCCAGTTAAGTGCATGCAAAAGCCACCAAACATGGATTCTAACAAGAACCTGTTACCAAGACTAAATATGGAATCTGATGATTGCATTTGCATTAGAAAAAAATGACTCCCCTCTTTTTAAAATATTTCCACATTTTATACCTGTGGAAAGACTGTTTTCTTATATTTTACTGGGACAATGAAATTAAAGAAAATTAAATGTAAATTAATATAGAATTAYTTGGTTTCGAAACATTTTGACTTTGCACTCCATAAGGAACAGCCATAATCTTCAAGTAGTTATTCATTACTCTCCGTAGTATACTAGGACTTTTTCTTTTTTAACTGGGCTTTATAGTGGTTCATTTGGACTTGCAGATCCCCCTCTACCTAGAAATGAGCTGTAGCTGTGAAGTGCTTGAGAAGGACTGAAAGTTTTGCTTGTTTACCTGTAGGTGACTTCAGTCTTAGAGGTAAATACGTGGGCACAATTGCAAAAATCGTAGTTCTGTTTTTCTTTTTTGCTTTTTTTTTWATTTCTATATGGTTAAACTTTTCCTGTATTTGCATGACTGAGACATTTCCTGTATGTTCATCAAATATTAGCAYTGTTTTAATTTCAAGTGTATGTCATTATGATAGGAAGATGAATTGTCCACGAAGGAATGAGTTTAAGTAATTTTTTTATATGTCTGTGCAGTCTTAATAACAAATTGACAAAGTCCAATGGTAAAAGTACTCTTGAGTTTGAGTAATGCTACAGACCTTTTCAAAGCAGAAACTGAAATTGTGAAACTGCCCTATTGTTCCTTAGTGCAATAAATAATAAAAAGTCAAATTCACAGATGCTTATTTTTACCTGGTGCCTTGTTTTGTTTTATAAATTGAACAAATACTTTCTATATTTAACTGCTTATTTTATGATGTGAAATTGTATTACCTTTAAAAATAGAGTTCAGAAATGAATTGTGTCTTGAAAAGGAATATTTAATTTCCATTTTTTAGGCGTAGAAGAGGGAAAAAAGTCTGAGATAAATTGGTTCTGTTGCACTGTAAATTGTTACGATATGCAGCTGCTTAATCTAAGAATAATTGGGATTTTTTTCCACTTACAGAGGGTAGAGAATAAGGAAATAGTTTTCCAGTCTTGCTTTTGTATAGACTTTATTTGTTCACTTTGGTATTCTCTGATGCGAGATGCAATAAAGATTTTAAGAGCAGCTGTATTGGGCTAGACAAGAAATCTATGTAATCCAATACCAATGTTCTGGATACTGGTGAATAGCAAGCGGTTGAGGAAAACAGCATGAAACAGGGCTGCTATTGAGTGTTTTTTTTTTTTTTTTTTTCACTGAATAGTGGCCAAATATATTTGTGAGCCAGAGGTTATACATTCTTAACAGAGTTATTTTTCAGTAATTTAGTTGCTCTTTAGTTGCATCAGATGAACGATAAATCCTAGAGCAATGAGTTCTGCAGCAGAATTACTCAGTATGTAAAAACATTAGTTTGAAACTTCTATGAGTTCGTTTGGTACTTGTAAGCCCTAGTTCTTGAGGCATATGGATGATTTCACCCTTTTCACCTTTTCTATACTGGGCATGACTGAATGGATCATCATCTWTTTTCACTGCTGAGAAGTCTGTTTAATCTCCTCTTGAATGGAAGTCATTGCAAAGCCCTGAATATCCAATTTGCTGCTTTAAGATGGAGACCAGAACTGATCTCATTATGTAAGATTTAGATACACGGTAGATTTAGTGGTGCAGGTTTTCTGTCTCTGCTTCATGTATTATTATTATTATTAAATATACTGATGGATCAAGCTTAGTTATAGAAAATCAGCTATACCTTCAAGTTCTCCTTCCTTAAACGTAACATAACTCRCAGCTTACTCTGATGTATAGATTATTTTTCTCCTATGTGTTTCTTTGTGTTTATTGAAACTTAATTTCACTCCCCTTCACTGCTTGGGYATTCAGCATTGCAAGATCTTTTAAAATTATCTTGGACTGTTCCAAGCAGTTTTGCAGCAGTTTCAGGCTTTATCTCACTAATTACATACCTCTGAAACTCTGTGAGGAACCCTTCTTTGCAGCTTTTTTTCTCTTGTTTAATCCATTTTTTTTTTTACCAGTTGTTAATTGTTAAGAGGATTTTATCCCTCACCCAGTGAGTGTGGAGCTCTTAAAATATTTTTTGAAAGGCATTTTGTAAACTCCCAAATATTTTCTTACCACATCATCTTTATTTTCCTGCTGTTTGCCTTCTTCAGAGACCTCTCAGTCATGCCTTCAGTCTGCATAAGTAAAACTAACCAACTCTTTCTGGTGTTTGTGTATTTATCGATTTGTTATGGAAATGAGATTTACTGGCTTATTGCTCTAACATCTCCTTGGGTTTCTAAAAGCCCTGTCATTCCTTTACAGCTGCAGGCTTATTTTAAAGCAAGTTATAGACCAGACTAACTGTGATAATAATTTTGAAGTTCATCTGTTCTTCTGCAGCTTTTATGATGATGGCATTTGGCCTTCAAAGTCTTTTTTGTTCATGGATTTCTTTTAAAGTTGYATTTTTGTTATTTGTGCAAACTCATTATGTGAAAAGTTGTCATCTTCTACATCTTGCTGCAAGAACAAAGCTATAATTTATGCTGCTGTTCCTTTGTTATGCCTGGCTGGTGAGCCTGAACTTAAGAATTTTGGTTGGTCAGTTCAGCCTTCTCAGCTATCGTAARACTTGATTTGTTGTGAGGGAAGGCTAGAAAAAAAGGGGATCAAGATGATGTGAAAAAGAAAGAACTTCAAATCTGCATAGAGAGATTAGCTAGAAAAAGCTACCTTCAAAGGAGAGTAATAGTCTAAAGAACAGGCCACTCTAAGGTAGGCCTATTGTTTTTGTAAGAGTATTTCCAACTGTGGGCCTGACAGTACTTCAACCTGTGCCTTGTAACTGCTCAGAACTGTCTGACAGTAGAGTTTTATTTCAGTGGTTTAGCTGCTCTTTAAAGAAAGAGTATTTTTCAGAATATTTTAGTATTAGTTTAATAATAGCTTAACAACAAACTTTTTCACTTGTTAAGATAGTACCTTTCATAGTCTTAGATGAAATCTGATAGCATTTAACTKCTGAAGATTACCTCCAGCTGTGAAATAGCCTTTTCCATCTGCAACACTTGCACTGACCTGTGGATTAGCAAATTCAGACCCTCACAGTGCAGCAATAAGGCATCTTTACTTGAAAATTAGGGCTTTGGGAAAGCAGGGTCTCTGGCCAGTCCAACCATCTGCTTATGAAAATCTTACATAGTCGGGAGGAAAGTGGGAAGGGAGAAAACACAGCCAGGCTTTAAAAATGTAATTTAAGAGAGGATCCCATGGGTACTTGCATATGAATATTCCTGAATGTAGRTTCTGAACATAGCAAGCTCACTTGCTGGTATAGTTCTGCCAGTGAACGTTAACTCAAAGCCAACCCTAGAGCCAAAATACTTACGTAGAGTCTGTTCTGCCTGCTGTGGCTGATGAATCCAGGAGAACTTCAGAATTCAGAAGATCTTTAAACTGTCCAAACATTGTGCAGAAAGGTCAGAAGCACAAGTTAAAACTGAATGTTCTGGGAAAACAGAGCCTGAGTTGTTATAACTATCAAAGGAGTTAAGAGAACCGTGTTTAGAAGTGCTTTTAGTGCTGCTCATCTCAAAACAAACTGTGCATGCTAGTTCCTGTGCTAACCACCATCTGGGTACACAGATTTGACCCTTGGACCAGACRGTATGCATGAACAATCCTTCTGAAAGCAACTGGTGCAGGTGTATGTACAGTGTATAGCTAGAATTAGTCCTGCATTCAAAATGTAGATCTGGTATTAACTACTTTCTGGAGTTTATGGAGTTTTGGAGTAGGCAGAGGGAAAAAAGATGTAACATCTCTTCATCTATCAATAAGTTCCTTGCTCAGCCACCTTTAAAAGTCATCTGCTGTATAATTAGTAGCTAAATTCCTTCCATTGCAAGGATTAAGCSCTGAACAGGGGAGAGCCATGTATTTTTTTTCCCTCTGATTTAAGTGGTAGAAGTATCAGGGGAAAGAACAATGCACATATTGATTTAAGTAGTCTAGGTAAATGATCCCATGCTGTGCTAAACTGGAAAATTGTTAGTCTGCTTTAGCACTGGAAAAAGAGAACAGTAATAGGCAACAATTAAACTAATTTAACCTAGATGTCTTCTGATAATATTTAACACTCATTTGAGTGTTTCTTTTCAAATAAGGTATTAAAAAGCTATAAAAACAAACAAACAAAAAAAAACAAAGCCAGCAAAGCAGAGTTCAACTCAAAATTGCAAGTGCTATGGTAATGAGAAAATTTCGCAGCTTAAATTTATTAAAACTTCATCAGGATACATCACTTGTTCCTGACAGCATCCAAGTGTTAAATATGAGGTAAGACATGTAATAGTTACTGAAGACAAGCCCATATGACTTGTAGGGCACCAGTAGGAAGATAATTAAGGCACTGATGATTATAGACTGCCAAAGAGCAGATGAAGATGCTGTACAGCTTGGAGCATTCCTCTCTCCTTCCCCATCTTACCCAGGTTGTTCTACTCAGTTTTATATTATAATACCATTAATTCAATAACCATTTTAAAAGTTACTTGATCCTTCAGAATGAAAAATATAACCATCAGACACACATTAGATGCATCTTGGCTAGAATCTTACGATTTCTCATAAAGGGTGCACAAACTCAAAGGCTAGTTGGGAGGCAATTTCTAAAGTATCCCAGGAATGAACACCCAGTTAATTCCCTTTGCATCTTCTGACTATATTTGTTTTTTTGGCGATATCGCCACCTCTTCCTTCTCTAGCCATGCAGTGCCTGATGCCCCCTAAAAGGAAGCCTAGGATGCTGAGCAGTAGATCCATCTTCTGTTTCTTGAGAGAATGTCCCGGGAAGAAGGCAGAGGACAATCCCAGCCCTGGAAAGAGCCTGAGGACTGCCCTGAAAGTGGAGGAGTCAGAGCAACACTGCAGGGTAACTTCCTATCACTGAAAGTTTGTCCCTCCACCTTCTCAGCTATACCCTTAAAGTTATACCATGACATACCTAGATCACTCACAACAAATAGCTTCTACACAGGCAGAAA